CTTCAAACTTTATCAGTGCTTATCTGGTAATGATGGGACACGTGTGGGTGATTTGTAAAAGTGCAGTAGATGGTGAAAGTCTGTAATCTCAACTTTATTCATTTATACAGCTCCTTCTATACAAACATGTTTCATAAAGTGCTTCATGCTGGAAAAATAGACTGAAAAAAAAGCTGGGGGATATAAATGAAAATTTGCAGGACTAAAGAAATACAACCAATTAAAACAATACAATGTTTTACAGATAGTTTAAAAATCACTTATTACTTGTGCCTGAGGTTAAAACAGAAATGCAATTTCCATTTCAAGTCCAGCTTTAAAAGATAAATCTGAAGATTTCTATCAAAAATACTGAAAGAGTTTGTAATGTTGATACCTCAAAGGTCCAAATCAGAAAAACAAATGAGTCATCCAGTTTATCTTGACATAAATTAATGTGTAAATACGTGGATGTGTGTTGGTTGGCTGTGTGTTCAACTGTGATGTCAGGTTGTATCATCAGCTAAAGTACACGCTGATGAGTCCAGGGCAAGGTACACACACACACACACACACACACACACACACACACACACACACACACACACACACACACACACACACACACACACACACACACACACACACACACACACACGAGGGAGATGACCCTTGGGCCTGCATGTGTGGGTGTCTGGCCATTTCCAGGATACTCTCTCACATCTGGTTTTAGCCTTTCAGGGGAGGAAGGTGTTACATTATCAAACTTTCCTCTCCCTCTCCCCCTCGCCCTTTCCAAAGCTGAACCCCCCCCCCCACGATCATTAAGGGTTAAAACAGAAGCACACATATCCGTCTTTACAAGGACAATTACAGAGCAGAGGGGACATTCCTTCCTCCCCTTGCCCACTCCCACTAATTTAGCTGCCAACGAGTGACCAACACAGCTGTCGAGGAGTTTACTGTCGGGCCTTATCTCTTCTAACCTGATAACTGTTTTTAAAGGAACAGGACTATTGATCAGTTAGCTCACTGGTTTATAAGTACATATATTTAATATGCACAAAGTGTCCTATTGACGCTCCATGTTAACTTATGAGCTTTCACATTATGCTGATGACATTATTCTGTATTTATCAGGACGATATTTGTTAAACGTTTGTACACTTTCGGTTTCCTAAAATTGCATCTTGTTTTTGACTTTGCTGCCTCCATGCAGGTGCAGGTATCTCACCTTCAACTGGCAATCTGTGAGCACCTAAAGATGATGTGTTTGATAAGCATTATACATGCTAAACATCAACATGTTTGGGATGTTATTTTGAGCATGTTAGCAAGTTAGCATTCGCATTTACACTTAAGCGTTAAGGACAGTTCTTAAATGCTAACAGCATGGCAGCGGCCTCTCTGTCTTGTTTTGATCCTTTTTATTTCTAAAGTCAAAGTCTGCATATTTTTCAATTCAAATGATTCGATGTCCTGGTTTGAAGTCTTTTCATCATCGTTCCTTTGATTTGATTAAATACAGTATAGCACAACTTTTCAAAGGGTTTTCTCTGTCTTTATGCGACACAGGATTTTCTTTGTGATTTTTCCACTGAACTCGAGAGATATAATCACTTGGCATTTACTCCTTCATCTACAGCGTTGATCGTGTCTTCATTAAAAGATTAACATCTGCATTTCAGGGACGTTCTCTGTGTGCTGCGATGTGTTTCAGACCAAACCCAAACTGAGAAGAAAAAACGTGTGAACGGCCTCTTTGTTATCACCACGGCTCCTTAAGGGAACTGAATGACCTCCTGATTCTCACCCTAGTTCCTAGTTTGTTGAAACTCCCAGTTTTCCCATTAAGGCTTCAACTCTGCAGGTTTCTCTGTCCCAGCTGGAGGGAGTCGAGTTACGGTTGGCCCGAAATAACACCTCTGTGTTGGGCCTGCAGAGACAAAGAGGTTCCTGTTGTGTGACATCAGGCCGGTGACCGATCCTGCAGGCTGGTCTACTGCCCTGCATCGCATGTTCTTCTTCCACACACACACACACACACACACACACACACACACACACACACACACACACACACACACACACACACACACACACACACACACAAAACCACAACCACAACCACACACTCCCAAGACAAAAATGACAGGGAGCGTATAAACCCTCACTATGCGTCTTTAGGGTGGTTCTGTTTTCATGCAAGCAGAGTATGACCCCATCCCACTCCATTTTGTTATAAAACAAGATGAGACTTTATTTCTGTTTGGCATTCTCACATTGGGTGGAAGTCTTTTTTTTTTTCTTTTTTTTTAAATTTCTGCTAAAATCTGAGATGACTGAGAGCTTTTTTTTCTGCTTTAGAAAGTAGCACAAATGAGGCAAAGAGAGAAAAGGGCGATGTTAAAGGTCATTTAGACCACATTTTAAACCCACAAACCATGCCTTAGGTTCTTCTAAATTACGAGTTCTCTATGCAATTACTCCTCCTCAAACCTACACCCTTTTTCTTCCACCAACATGGTGTTTGTCTTCTTCTTTTCAAAGCCAAAATCTGATGCAAATCGACCAAATTGTCAGACTTTTTCTTCAGACTTGTCAGATTTGTAGACACCATGGCATAGCCTAGTTCAGACTTTCTAACCTTACTCTTATTAGCATTAGGGGACGCTAACAGTTAAACATTTTCTACCAAGAAACCTGATGTTTATAACACTGAAAGGATCTTAAGATAGTATTTTAAAGCTGTACTTTTAATGGAATTTTGAAATATTTTTCCCCCTCACTTCACCAATAGCTGGTATTTTATTCATTAGCGCTGACTTTATAATAGCTATCATCATCCCAGTGAAACCTTTAACTGTCAACATGTGTGCGCATTAAAATCTGAAGAGGTGTAATAATAATATCAGCAGCAGTTTGATGTATAAAAATGGCTCTTAGTCACGGTGAAGATGTGGTTACCAAGACACACCGGAGCTGGGCCAGTAAGGAGTTGTAACTTATTTTAACTGTTTGCCCATAATGTGATGGGTTTTGGCATGTGCACACACACACACACACACACACACATACACACACACACACACAAAAGACAGGAATACACACACGCACACACACATGCATACATTTGCATCATGGTTTGTTCACACTGATGGTTCTAAAAGATGGAAATGCACCCATTCTTGGATAAATGTGTAAATATTTGTCTTTCCCCCTTGAATTCATTCACAGCATCCTGTCAGTGTTTGCATTACACACACACACACACACACACACACACACACACACACACACACACACACACACACACACACACACACACACACACACACACACACACACACACACTCACTCACTCACTCACTCACTCACAGTGGCCTTTTAAGGGTAGCATAGGGCGACAGGAGTGTGTGTTTATGCAGTGAGGAGGTCATTTCTCTGTGTGAATGTAAAAAGTCAAGTCTTCTTTCTGTCTCTCTCGGTCTGTAATTGAAGCCACATGCTTGGCGCACACTCAACCCTCCTTCTGTTTCCTCCATCTTGATTTCTCTCTCCATTCATCCAGCCGTTTGTTTTTGTTTTTTAGACTAGCGTTCCAACCTTTACATTCAACACTTCCAACATCTAATCGTTCTTTTTAGTTGACTCCACAGTTTAGAAAGTCTCAGTTTAACGTGTGACGTATTTAAAGTGTTTTTTACTCTTTCTGATTGGCTGAGTGCGGAATGTTCCGACCATGCTGATATTCCATTGGACAGAATCTGTGTATCCTGCCCGGCAACAGAATTTGAGCAGTTAAAGTTACATCATAAAGATGTTGGCATTCTCTCACGGGGCGGAGAGTTCAAGTGAGGACAGGACTGGATTTAATTTAGTGTTTCTAATTTGAAAACCACATTTCTGTGTTATTAATTTGATCTTTGATGATTTCTAATGAGAGAAAAACGTGTTGCTATGGAAACATCTGGCTAATAAGACACACATTTAAAAAAAAGTTGATATTATACTTTGCTTAATATTATTAATACTATAATATTATAACTTTACAGTGTAATACTGTGTAAAAACTTGTAAACAGACAGAGTAAGAGCTGTATCATGTTTGTGGATTATTGAAACATGAACTGAAACTTTCCTCAAAGATGAGCATGAGGAACAAACAAAAAAAAGTTTTTTATATCATGCATCAGATTCAGTTTATTTTGAATACTGTAGGAGAACATTTTCAAGAAGAAAAATTATGCCACTGAATTGAAATTCTGGTTTATGCATCAAATCTACACCGTCTCAACAGAATTGTCAAAACCGCTCTGATTTGAGCTTCTTCATGTAATGATTGCTTTCCCGTTTTTGAATCATTGTTGTAGATATTTTTCTGGGGGGAACTGGACTTTTATGGCCCAGAAGTTTCCCGTGGTCCTGCAGAATATTTGAAGATGAGTGTGTTATAGCTCGTTTATTGTGTGTGAACGATCTGCACATTTTGTTTTGTCCAGTAATGAAAGGCCTCCACCAGAACTGTTGAAAATGTTGAAAGACGTACAGCTGCAGGTTCTGCATAAAGAGGAGATGTGTGTCAGTATGTTATCATCACATCACCAGTGGGGGGGGGGGCTTTGCTTTGGCTGCCTTTGGTTTAAGTTCGTCACAACACCTGAGCATGGAGGCAGATCTGAACACACATAGTCACCTTGATGAGAGATTCTGGAAAAAGATAGAGAGAGAGAAAGAAGAATGTAGGGGAGGAGGAGAGAAGACGGGGGCAATGACAGACGAGATTAGGGGTGTACAGAGGGGTGGGGGGGTGGGGGGGTGGGGGGGGGCGTGGGGATCTTTCGGCTGCTGTTTGCATGAATGTATCACCACACTGACGCTCACACACAGAAAGAGAAACAGTGATTGGAAAGGGAGATTTCAGTCTGATTTGTTTGAAATGAATGACGATTTTACAGGTTTTTAATTGGTTCGTTTAGAGTTCCCTCGGGGGGGAACTTCAAGGAAAGGTGGTAGTAAAAGATTCAGCAGCCTCTAATTACAGGCAGGCTGTCGTGGCTCCGTGTAATTATCTGTCTGTCTCCTCTCGGCTGCCATCCAATCGATATTTTATTCTTCAATTGCAAAGATGTTTATGGAATTATTCTCTTTTCTTTTTCGCAGCACTTCTCCGAGCTCCTCGACGACCTCTCCCATGATGCTTTGCTGGGCCAGCTGCTCAGCGACCCTTTCCTGTCCGGAGTGAGGGGCGGCGTGGAGGCCATGGAGGGGGAGGACGGGGGAGACCTGTCCCCTTCGTCCCCTCTGCCTCCTCACATCACGGCCGAGCACAGCTACTCGCTCTGCGGGGACAGCCGGCCTCAGTCGCCGCTGTCGCACCTGACCGGAGAGCACGGCAGTGAAGCAGGTGAGACACAGATCGCTGTTTAGATCCTTTGAAAAGTCAGGATCGCTCAATCTTATTCCTTTTCTAACTCGGCAACATGTTTTCCTCCCGTGCAGGAGAGTCTGACGGGGATTCATCCGAGTGGCCGATGGAGCAGGACGAGGCCATCGAAAGCCTCCTGTGCGAGACCCCCTCCCTCCTCCCCACCCTCTCCCTCTCTCTGACCACAGCGGGGGCCCCAGCACCCGAGGACCCCACCGTGGCCCCTGCTGCTGCTGCTGCTGCTGCTGTTGCTGCAGTTCCATCCACCCCAGTTCAACCCCCGGTGAACAGCAACAACCAGGGCAAAGGCATCAAGGTGAGATCAGGAGGAAAAACAATGACAACTGATATTTTCTTGTCATTTTTGTTTCTCTGTTAAATATCTTTTTTCTTTGTTTTCAGATTAAGGAGGAGAACATTGTCCCCCAGATAAAACTGGAACCTCATGAAGTGGACCAGTTTCTCAATCTTTCCCCCAAAGGTCTGCATTTTAAACTCTTCTTCTGCATGTCCCTGTCTTTGCATGTCCATAGTCCTATGCAACAAGGACCCCTGCAGGTCGTTTGTGGAAATACTTCAAAATCAGGCTCAGACTGAAGTAGATAAAATCACTTTGATCCAGATGAGAATGTAAATAAATAAAGACTGGTTAGGAAAACATTGAGTTCAAGAACTTTACAGGATTATTTCCATGTTATTCAATTTCATACTTTAAAAGATATTGGATTTTCTAACACATTGGTTCGGTGTCAGGTTACAAGTGTAATTCTTTTACTTCCCAGTGAAAACCAAAAATCTCTAAATATTTGAGTTTCTTTATGTGTTAAGAAAATGAACCAACTTCTAAAAAATACCCGTTTATACTTCAGTAATGAGAATTAAAGATCACCATATATGACTGTAAAACTCTGACAGGGAATATTTAACTGAACAGATGAGTACTTTTACTATCCATACATGAACTTAGAGAATACTCAAAGAAAATGTTGAGCATTATACCGACACACTTTTACTCTAAGGATCCGAATGCTTCGTCCATCACTCCTCCTGATACACTACATCAAATCCCCTTTCAGGTCTGGAGTCTCTACAGATGCCTCCCACTCCTCCCAGCTCCCACGGCAGCGACTCAGAGGGCAGCCAGAGCCCCGTTCACGCCCCGCCCAGCCTCTCCTGCCCCACCTCCCCCACCAGCCCTCCACCATCACAGGCCAGCCTGAAGGTGTCGCCCCGCACTGCTTCATGTCTCTCCAACTCCCCTCTGCTCACCGCCCCTCATGTGAGTAACTGCCTGTAGTCTTTTGTTCTTTGTTTGGCAAAAAATAAGGAACACTGAAACTAAACTGTGTGTTTATTTAGTATTAATAGTAGATCATTCTCTCAAACATTTTTAAAGTAAAATTATGTTCTTCATCCTACCAACAAAATACTACATTTAAACTTCCTCAGAGAAATAATCCAGAATCAAATCTTCTTGTTTCCTTAATAACTTACTCTAACAAACCTTTGTGTGTGTGTGTGTGTGCGTGCGTGTGTAGAAGCTGCAGGGGTCGGGTCCGTTGATCCTGACTGAAGAAGAGCGCCGCACGCTGGTGGCCGAAGGTTATCCTGTCCCCACCAAACTGCCGCTCACCAAAGCCGAGGAGAAGGCGCTGAAGAAGATCCGCAGGAAGATCAAAAATAAGGTACAAGTCGTGATTGGAAAAACACAAACACAAACAAATACACATAAAGCAGAGTAGAAAAGGACTGACGTTGTATTTGCACATAAAGCAAACTTTTTCCATAATTTTTCATAACATTTCTCTCTCTTTTTCTCTCGCTCTCTGTTTTAGATTTCAGCTCAGGAGAGTCGCAGGAAGAAGAAAGAGTACATGGACACTCTGGAGAAGAAGTGAGTCCTCCTCGTCTTTGTCATGTTTTCATTATATCAAGGAGAGCGTGCAGAAAATATAAAGTCTGATGAGGATTATCAAGTTTCTTAATAGTCTAGTTAACCTCTGGTTTAAAAACTGTGTGTTTTGACCTTTTTACTGTTTGACCTTTGACCTTAAAAAGACCCCATATATCGTCTTCTTATCTGCCTCTTCTGTCTCTATTAAAAACATTGACTGTAGATTTTATTCATACCGTTTATTAGTTATTTTTGTTGTATTATTCGAGATGACTGCATTATTTAAAACCACAAAGAAGATTACTTCTTCTCGGGATGAATTATTAAAATGGGAAAGTTTGTAATTCTGTTCATTTAAATTATTCATCATGTCATTTGGATTTACTCCATTACAGACGTTTCTTTAATTAATCAGATGTAATATTATCTCTTTCAAACTATGAAAGCTATTTCTTGTTTTATAAGAAACAGCATGATAATCAGTTAACAAAAGAGCAGAGACTGACACTGCAGTACCCCTCTCTGACCACAGGGTGGAGAACTGCTCCAACGAAAACCACGAGCTGCGGAGGAAAATGGAAACTCTGGAGTGTACCAACAAGTAAGAAAAACAAACACAATGCAAACACACAGCTGCAGAGTTAATGTCCTTCATCTTCATAATGATGTACACATGTTAAATTAAAGACAGTGGAGTCGGAGGAGCTTTGAACTGACACACAAAGACAGAAAAAAAGAACAAACTGATGCGACGACTTCTGTCAGCGCTGGTGATAACTTTTGACTTCCTGACCGTCACCATGATTCAATCATGGTGCACAATGAAATCAAAGACCAGGAAATGAAGGAGGAGATGACTCAGAGCACACTAAAAAAAAAAACAATGAGCCACAGAAAAAATGTCCATAACAGAAAACTTATTTCATGTCAGCGAGGACAGAAAAGACAGAATCAAAGCTCCCTGTTGATGTGTTCAGACATGCATAATCATCACGCTATTTTCATGCAAAATGCTCAAGCTGCTTCAGTGAGACTGTGTTGTTTGTTCTGGTTATACATGGATGAAGTGTGTGTGTGTATGTGTGTGTGTGTGTGTGTGTGTGTGTGTTTGATGCAGCCCATGAGTGCGCTGTGTGTAGTTGACTAGAACACAGCTGTTTCAGGTTTTGTTTTTCAGCCAATAGCTCCATCGTTACTGTCTGAAAGGTAAATGAGCCTGTGTGTGTGTGTTTTGTGTGTGTGTTTGTGTGTGTGTGTGTGTGTGTGTGTGTGTGTGTGTGTGTGTGTGTTTTGACACTAAGTACAATGTGGCAGAGATAAAGTGTTTACACTGAAATAACTAAAAACACATCAGAAAAAGACTCAAGAAAAGAAAAAGTGATGCACACTGCACAGACGCAAACAACAACTAAAACTTTAAACTTTGAGTTAATTTCCCACATTTGTAGAGTTTTGTTTTCTGTCTTCTCTTACTATGTTTCTAACCTGTGTGTGTGTGTGTGTGTGTGTGTGTGTTTGTGTGTGTTCTTCCCCAGGTCTCTGCTGCAGCAGCTGCAGTCGCTGCAGGCGATGGTGGCCGGCAAAATCCCCAAATCCTGCCGGGTGGCTGGTACCCAGACCTCCTCATGCCTAATGGTACTGCAATACAGTGTGTGTGTGTGTGTGTGTGTGTGTGTGTGTGTGTGTGTGTGTGTGTGTGTGTGTGTGTGTGTGTGTGTGTGTGTGTGTGTGTGTGTGTGTGTGTGTGTGTGTGTGTGTGTGTGTGTGTGTGTGTGGTGTGTGTGTGTGTGGTGATTGATTTAAATATTGAATTGGAAACATCTGCTTCCATCATTCATTAGCAGCTTAGCAATGATTCATAATTTATTTACCCATCCCTCCCTCTCTTCCTCTCTGCTTCCCTCTTTCTCTTTCTCTTTCTCTCTCCCTCTCTTCCTCTCTGCTTCCCTCTTTCTCTCTCTCTCTCTCTCTCTCTCTCCCTCTCTCTCTCTCTCCCTCTCTCTCTCCCTCTCTTCCTCTCTGCTTCCCTCTTTCTCTTTCTCTTTCTCTCTCTCTCTCTCTCTCTCTCTCTCTCCCTCTCTCTCTCCCTCTCTTCCTCTCTGCTTCCCTCTTTCTCTTTCTCTCTCTCTCTCTCTCTCTCTCTCCCTCTCCAGGTGGTCGTGTTGTGTTTCTCTCTGTTTTTGGGGAGTTTCTACCCCAGCAGTTTGACTCCGGCCTCCAGCGTCACTGAAACCGGCTTCACATCCAAACAGCTGACTGTCAAAGACTCGTATTTGGCTACAGGTAGCTACACACAAACATAAACTCTTTAAACAAAATATGTGAAAATATTGGGCTTTTATTCATCAAGTGTCAAGAATCAAAATAGGTAAAGCACTTTATTTTGCTGTTTGTCAGCTGGATGCTGAAGTGCAAAAAAACCTGCAGTTCCTCAAGTGTCCACTAGAGGCTGGCTGCCTTGGAAGTCACATACACAAACTTTGACAGCACATATGAACATGTCCACTGTGACTACTATCAGGCTTTAGCTGGACGGACTCGTCCTGCTGTTTCCACTGTAATTATGACTCATTAGCTCACTGCTATAAAACTATGGAGGTCCATTATAAAGTAATCAGATTCCACCTACAGTTACAGCTACAGAGCCTGATTATAGGAGCTGAACTTTCAATACATCGTCTCTACTGCCTCCTACACACACACACACACACACACACACACACACACACACACACACACACACACACCACACACACACACACATATGGTTTTATCATTAGTGAATTTAATTTCCTGACCATAAACCAACACAAACATAAAAAACAAAAAGCCTCAGGTTAGTTTTCAGAAGTCAGACAGTGATATAATATGATGTGTGTGTGTGTGTGCGCGCGTGTGTGCGCGTGTGTGTGTTTGGGTGTCGTGTTTGAGATTTAAAAAAATTGCAGATGATGTTAAGCAATAAAAAATGTTATAATTTTTTTTTTTTTTTTTTAGTAAAATCGAGGAGTCTGTTATCGACCTTCGAAGAAGAGCAGCCGCACCTCCTCGGCCTGGGAGGAGAATATCCCGACCAATGGGAGGACACGTCAGCTGTCGTCATGGCGGCGTGGCGCGCTCAGAGCAACAAAAACTGGCGTGGAGCCGGCAGGGGGAGACACACCCGCTTTTCAGGAGCAAAAGCAACGACACGCAGACATCGAAAAACCTGCTCATGGATATGCCACAGGTAAACAAATATGCACTTTATTAACAAGAGAAGAAGAAGTGGGAGAGATGGACTCACCATGAGACACTCTAAAGACCTTCTCTGTTGATAAGGACACAGACAGTGTGGGAAACTTTTGATGCACCACAGTTTGACTAAAGTTTAAGATATTTAAGAGCCTGGAGGAACAGTCTAGTCGTATCCATAACAACACAGAACTGAACCGACCCCTCTCCATCAAACTCCAAAAACAAACACTGTCCATTGAACACCTTTCATTCACACGATCTGACGCGGTGATGTCTTGGTGTTTCAGGTCTCTGGATCAGCGGGCGAACGAGAGCAGCAGTAAAGTGATAGAGCTGGAGCGAACGGTCAACGAGACCTCCTGAGGTTCATGTAAACAAGCCCCCCCCCCCCCCACCCTAAACCCTGTGATGACCCCCCTCCTCTCTGGAGCATGTTCAGTGTCCTGGAGTAAACCTCATACAGTAGTTCCCACTGCTGATCGTTTAAGGTCTTTTCTTTTTCTACATCAGATACACTGTAATAATAATAAATATAATATTAATAGTATGAACTAAGAGGCACTGGTTTGCCTCATTTCTGAAGTAAAGTTGCACTGAATAGTTTTACGAGTCAACTTCCCGGTTGTATCTGTCACCCCTGATTGATGCGGCTTAAAACACTGGCAAAAAAAAAAAGATGAAATCATAACACGCTGTAAAAAAATGTAGCGTTGCATTTACTCCAATGGAAAGTAAATTAAAATATAACGTGGGGCTTTTTACAGGACACTGACGAGAACCTTTGAACCTTTTGTATTTATAGAAACCTGTTTTTTTTATTT